GTGTGGGACTGGAGAGCCCGGTACCGGTACCGAACCTAACAGAACTGGCTATTACAAAAGCCTATTACAACTGCCAGCCTGACTCCGATGCCGCCGCGAGTTACAACCGCCTTTTTGAACTTACGGGCAATACAACCGCCTTTTTGAACTTACGGTCTGACAAAGTTGCCGACACTTGTTTTTTCTGCCAATTACGAACTCTAATGTGACACAAACGTACTTCCCTCAAAAAAAAAAGACACACCACCTTAATGAAACCTCTGCCCTGACACCACCGCCGGCCTGAGTTAAGAACGCGTTTTTTTTTTTTTTGGAAAATAGTATTTCAAATTAAAGGCCAATGGGACGAGGCCGGGGACCTCAAAATTCAACCCGGAGTTATCCTTGCAGCCTCAGCCAGTTTCACTTATAAGGAACTCTCTAATACCAGCCGGCTGAGGTAAAAATCATCAAAAAGGCCTGCTGGAAACCAGGTCCACCGTCCCCACCTTAGACCACCTTCCAAAAGTAACCTTGAAGCACAGAGCAAAAGCAAAAGGGGCTAACCACCCACGGCTACTAGCTCATTGATACCTCAAATCCCTGGAAAACCTGGGAACCCACCCTGGCAAGCCTAATACCTCCAGTATCTCTATGCCAATCACCAAAAACCATTAATTAGACTTCAAGCTCATCAACTCAGCAGAGTTAAGCGATCGGCCAGAGTTCCATCCCCCTGAGGACATTAGAACTGTGGACTTGTAGGGCAGGTTTAATCTTCAAATTCAACAACTTTCTCCATTATCAAAACCAGTATCAGACCTTACTCGGTCCAGTAAACACTCCCAGTACTTGGGGGGGTCTCAAAGCCCTAAAACAAATTTAACTGACAGTATAGGGCGGGCAACTCAAAAAACCATCTGCAGTCCAAAGCAAGCCAGAACCACCTTGACGGGTCTCCCACCACGCGCCCTTGGATCTTCAAATGCAATCCCTCGAAATTCCACCAATTCGGTGCTTAGATTGTCTACCGAATGTGGACATAATTGTGGTCAGATACCTGCAGGAAATTCCTACCTACCGAGAGTGTATACCAACATGGGATCGTCTCTGTTCTCGAGCTCTCGTTATCTGAGTCCTGCCGTGAGCATGCCCAAGCGGAATCCTATCAGTTGTGTAATCTCTCGTTACCGTCATACCGTACCATATAACAAAGAAACGTTGTCATCACTTTTTTCCTTTTCCGTTCGAGTCCAATTCAAGGAAAAGGCCATTAACGCTCTGTCACCGTCTTACCGTCGAATTGCCATTATGGAACAAAGGCCTAAGAGTACCCGTGAGTGAGAACACAAGCATATAATCTGCATCCTATAATCTCTCAGTCTTCTCCATGCTCGAGAGCCGGGCACCGAACGCAAAAACGTGAAAACGTACTAAGAAAAGACTTTCGCAGGAGAGGCATGACTCTCTACCAACCACACCATCTGAAAATGCTAACACAGAGCACGCCTTTATACCAGGACTGAATAAAAGCAGTGAATCTAAAGGCTGTCCATCTATCTCAAGATATCTCCGTGACGAGATCTGATCAGCCCTGTAACCAGCGTACTATTGGGACCAGGTCCATTAATTCCAGTAAGAAAACATTCCACGAAACCGAGGATCTCATCCTAGAGTTTTGTAAAAATTCTTCATTGGCTGAATTCAACCATCCGACCTCGCCCAGCCATTTGAAAGAGCAACAACAGCCCCAGCTGCCAGCAAATCCTCAATGCAAAACTGACGACTCATTATGAAAACAGGCAGGAACAGAACGAAATTACTGAAAATAGTCCAGGTGCATTAGAAGGAGACTAGGGGCTGTGAGGAAACATGTAGGACCTTCCGACTATGAACCACCTATACCCCTTAATCACCCTCCTCAACAAGGTAGAATGTAATTGCACTCCACTAAAGCTCATTACACTCATGAATAAAGTAGAAGTCTGTACCTATCCCATAAATGGCTCCAAGTACAGATACAAATGCTACACACGATTCCCTCATAGCGGTCGACAATTATCTCGCCTATCAACGTGCTGCAAAATTGAGTGCATCTACCCTTGAATCGTGCTTAGATGCAGAATTTAGAGAGTGTGATCTTTACAGGAAAAGTGTGATCCGTCCCAAGACAATCATGAGATGCAAAACAGCTCGCAATTAGAGTAACGAAAATGGATCAAGCCTAAACTTACAGCCAGGAACAGAAATAACCACAGTTGAATCTGGCCCAAAGTTCCGGCTACGTACTTCCGAAAGGGCGTCTGATATTCCACTGGCCCAGATGGTCTCCATCCTCCACGATAGTCTCAAGGGAAGGTGAATCTGAAGTCATGACTAAATGCACCTGAAGAGTGACCGATTACTGCCACAGAAAACGCCGAGTTGGCTTCCAACTAGCTCTTGGCATGCCTCTCCCAACATCGCACCGCAACCGTTGGCTCTCCCACTGCCACAGGAAATGCCGAGTTGGAAGTGCTTATGCCACCCATCACAATCCCTGCGTCTTGGATGTATTCAGGCCAGGAATGCAGATAGATACAATCATCTCCTCTGTTTTGTACTGCTGCTCCCCAGTAGTGTCCAAGCAAAAACGTGAAGTTCAGTGGCACTTTGAGCAGGATCAGTGTGTACGTGTGTAAGTGTATATTGAGGGGAGGGGCTGCAAGGTTGGCCTCCGCCCATTCAAGAAGCTGGAGATACCAACACCATAGCGGAAGCTATAGCAAGCCCTACTGTGGCATACTGCGTAGCCACACGGGCCCTGCAGGGCCCGTCCTGGACATTCAGCCTAAAAGCCTAAAACTTACGGCTTACAGGCCCCGTTCATTTCAGCCTGGATGCTGAAAAAAACGAGGGCCTGCAGGCCCTACCCCGTTTCAGCCTATTTCTGGGTCTTTTCAGACCCAGAGTTTTCAGCCTGAAACGGAGGGCCATTTTCAGGCCCTCATTGTTTCGACCTGCCCCTAAGACTCAGGCACGTAAACAGGGATGCGGAACAGGCCAGAAATAGCCTGTTCCTCACTAGTTGAGCAGGAGCTGCAGCTGCAGCCCCTGCCTCCCTTCGGCAGGCTCAGGAGGCACACCCGTAGTACATAGGAAGTTCCCATGCACTTCACGGGTAGGTAGTGGTCAGTAGGACGAGTAGTCTTCAGGATTTCGGCCGCAGCACTCAGGAGGAGCGCTGCAGTAGTCTTCAGCGCTAGGCAGTAGGTGTTAGAGCTAGCTGTAGTCTTCGGCGCTGGGCGCCATAGCTGTAGCTGTAGTCTTCAGCGCTGGGCGCTGGTAGGTGGTAGATCGTAGAGTGGAAGAGAGACTGGCGGAGGCCAGTGGGACTATCCTGTGGCGCCATCGCTCCAGCTCCATCTTCGTGGTACCTGCATCAAGGCGCCAACTTCACAGGTTAGTACTGGACACAGAGAGAGAGAGAGTTCTTCTTCTTCCTCTTCTAAGTCCACTTCTCTTCTCACCCTCTCGCCACCTGACTTCTCAGMCTACGACAGAGAGAGACAGAGTTGTGACTTGAGACTTGACGACATTGGATCCAGACTTGACATTTGGGATTCAGACATTTCGACGAGGGACTATTTGGGCTTGTACCAAGGACTTGGTGTTGACGACATTCCCATCTTCCCCCTCCTCTTCGTCTATCCCCTTCCTCCTCGTCTGTGTATGGTATGGGCTGGCGCAGTCTTCCTGTGTGAAGCGCCAGGCCCATCTCACACCATGTAACGATGATGATGATGTATGTTGAGGGCTGCACTTCAACATTGATTGATCGGATCACTGGTATCTAAGTCTTCCGTTGTGCTATCTTATACTTTGTATTGAAAGGTCGGTTCTTGTTCTGGTCTGCACGTTATAGTATGCAACGGTTTGGTATCGGAGTGGACCTCTCATTCAGAGGACCCGCTCAATCAAGTAGCCAGCTTGCGATCTATTGATCACTCATTAGTAACACAAGTAGGACTTAGTCAAATCTCTGAATTTTTTTTTCTCGCAACA